AATTTTATAGCATGTAATTGACAGTAATCGAAAAGTAATCCAATTACTTTTGATAAAGTAATCGATTGCAATCGATTACATACAAAATTCAGAGTAATCGATTATTAATCAAATACACAAAAATCCCTCAAGTAATTTATTATTAATCGATTACATTTGTCAGTAATCGTGCCCATCCCTGCTAGATATAGAGGGGACACAATTTGTTACGGACAGACGGAAGGACAGACTGATCACTACATTAAGGTTATTCTGGTCATATTTTTTGTAATCCAGAATTAAAAGTATGAAAAAAGTGTCCAATTAGTTATAAATAACCTATTAGCCTGCTAGATAACAACAAGAGGCTCTCAAGAGCCTGAATCGCTCACCTGTTATTTTTTTTGCTTAAATCTTTCATCAATGATTATTTTTGCTTTTTACCCATATGTTCCATTTTAGCCATAGTGTCTATGTTTCTTGACGTACAAGGAAATGAAATACAAAATTTATACTAGATTCATTTGAGAAGATTTTTAAAGTTAAAAAATATAAAACAACTTGTGTAAAATTGTCCTTAAAGGGCAATAACTCCTTAAGGGGTCAATTGAAAATTTTGGTCATATAAAACTTTTTTGTAGATGTTACTTTGCTGAACATTTTTGCTGTTTACAGTTTATCTTTATCTTCAATAATATTCAAAATAATAACCATAAACTGCAAAATTTCCTTAAAACAACCAATTTAGTGGCAGCAACCAAACAATAGGTTGTTCGGTGTGTCTGAAAATTTCAGGGCTGATAGATCTTGACCTTTTGAACATTTTTACCCCATGTCAGATTTGCTCTAAATGCTTTAGTTTCTGAGATATAAGCCAAAAACTGCATTTCACCCCTATGTTCTATTTTTAGCCATGGCGGCCATGTTTGTTGATTGATCAAAATTTCAGATACAATTCATAAACTAGATTCCTAAAGGAACATTCATTCAAAGTTAAGAAGTATTAGGCACAATAGTTTCAGAAGAAAAGATTTTTAAATGTTAGCAAACTTGATGAACACATTGCGTAAAATTGTCTTTAAAGGGCAATAACTCCTTAAGGGGTCAATTGACAAATTTGGTCATTTAACTTTTCTGTAGATCTTACTTTGCTGAACATTATTGCTGTTTACAGTTTATATCTATCTATAATAATATTCAAGATAATAACAAAGAACTGCAAAATTTCCTCAAAACTACCAATTTAGTGGCAGCAACCCAACAATGGGTTGTACGATTTGTCTAAAAATTTCAGGGCTGATAGATCTTGACCAATTGTACAATTTTACCCAGTCAGATTTGCTCTAAAAGCTTTAGTTTTTGAGATATAAGCAAAAAAATGCATTTCACCCCTATGTTCTATTTTTAACCATGGCGGCCATGTTTGTCGATGGATCAGAACTTCGGATACAATTTATAAACTAGATACCCTAAGGAACATTTAGTTAAAGTTTGAATTTATTTGGCCCAGTGGTTTCAGAGGAGAAGATTTTTGAAATAGTTTACGACGACAGACGACGGACGCCAAGTGATGGCATAAGCTCACATGGGGCCCTTCGGGCCCCGGTGAGCTAACAATGGCACCTATTTCAGTATTCTTTGAGAAAAAGGCAAATCTAGGGTGCTAGCATATGGCAGCTTAACTGCCAAAAAATGTCCCCTAAATACTTATATTCAGCTGGAAATAGTTTGTATGCGTAATGACCTGAGATTTTTAAAGTCAAACAGAGAAGATTATATCAAAAGTATTGAATTTTATTACTCCATTTTAATTGAAACTTGATTTTACCATGACAGTGCCTGAGTTATATAGAGTATTATGTTTGTAATGTTATGTACATATGTATTTTATGACATTTACACGTAAAATTGACCTTTTTCTGACTAGCACCCTGCCCTTTTCAAATCCTGGCTAGAACACTGATTATTAATTCTTTTATCATTTCTATCATACCATGTGGTTTTCCACATAAAGGCAACTAAAATAAAATCTAAATTTATCATGAAGTAAAGCTCCTTAAAATTGTATAATGCATACTTTATCACATGAAAAGCAATGTGTTGATCCCTCACTTATCCCTGAAATCTGGGAAGCCATATAAGGTTTTTACTTCTCCCTGTTTAGTAGGTTCCTAAAAGTGTGCCACTAATAGGACCAACTACAAAATGTAGTGGATTCCCCCTTTCCAAATTAGCTATATATGACAACAACTTGTAAGGCATAAAGTTAGCAACAAATAAGGAAAAATTTGTGCGCAAGAAAAGAATCGACAATGCAACATACCATCTCTGATTTGATGACCTTTCTTCCCACCCTTGATTTTCATTCTGTGGTGAACCCTGTAAATAAAAAAAAAACTGTAGAAAAGAATGAAAGAACCTTAGTGAACGCGCTCACATACCCCACTTCCCCACATTGTCATTGGAGAAATAAAATAAGTGTAAGAAAAAAAAATTGTATCAGAAAAAATAAAATGCTTCGCTGGGGCGCAGCTTGATACGACCGCAGAGGTCGAACCCTGAACAGTTGGGGCAAGTATGGACACAACATTCAAGCTTGATACAGCTCTGAATTTGGATTGTTATTAAATATTTGACACAGCATAGGTTTCTGACACAGAAAGAATGTGGTCTAAGCACTTGAATTTTTTTAATTTACCTATTATGGTCCAATGTCCAAAATCAAAATACATGGTTAGATTCAGCATATCAAAGAACCCCATATATTCAATTTTTGTTAAAATCAAACAAAGTTTAATTTTGGACCCCAACTTGGACAAACTTGAAAACTGGGCCCATAATCAAAAATCTAAACACATGTTTAGATTCAGCAAATCAAAGAACCCCAAGAATTCAATTTTTGCTAAAATCAAACTAAGTTTCATTTTGGACCCTTTGGACCTTAATGTAGACCAATTTAAAAAACGGGACTTAAAATTAAAAATCTAAATACACGGTTAGATTTGGAATATCAAAGAACCCCAATAATTCAATTTTTGATGAAATCAAACAAAGTTTAATTTTGGACCCTTTTGACCTCAATATGAACCAATTTGATAGCGGGGCGCACAAATAAAAAATCTAAATTCATGGTTAGATTCAGCATATCAAAGAACCCCATATATTCAATTTTTGTTGAAATCAAAAAAAGTTTAATTTTGGACCCCAACTTGGACCAACTTGAAAACTGGGCCCATAATCAAAAATCTAAACACGTTTAGATTCAGCATATCAAAGAACCCCAAGAATTCAATTTTTGTTAAAATCAAACTAAGTTTAACTTTGGACCCTTTGGACTTCAATGAAGACCAATTTAAAAAACGGGACCCAAGTTAAACATCTAAAAACACGGTTAGATTTGGCATATCAAAGAACCCCAATAATTCAATTTTTGATGAAATCAAACAAAGTTTAATTTTGGACCCTTTTGACCTCAATATGAACAAATTTGATAGCAGGGCCTACAAATAAAAAATCTAAATACATGGTTAGATTCAGCATATCAAAGAACCTCATATATTCAATTTTTGTTGAAATCAAACAAAGTTTAATTTTGAACCCCAATTTGTACCAACTTGAAAACTGGGCCCATAATCAAAAATCTAAATACATGTTTAGATTCAGCATATCAAAGAACCCCATATATTCAATTTTTGTTGAAATCAAACAAAGTTTAAATACTGGACCCTATCTTGGACCAACTTGAAAACTTGGCCCATAATCAAAAATCTAAACACATGTTTAGATTCAACATATCAAAGAACCCCAAGAATTCAATTTTTGTTAAAATCAAACTAAGTTTAATTTTGGACCCTTTGGACCTTAATGTAGACCAATTTAAAAAACAGGACCCAAAATTAAAAATCTAAATACACGGTTAGATTTGGAATATCAAAGAGCCCCAATAATTCAATTTTAGATGAAATAAAACAAAGTTTAATTTTGGACCCTTTTGACCTCAATATGAACCAATTTGATAACGGGGTCCACAAATAAAAAATCTAAATACATGGTTAGATTCAGCATATCAAAGAACCCCATATATTCAATTTTTGTTGAAATCAAACAGTTTAATTTTGGACCCCAATTTGGACCAACTTGAAAACTGGGCCAAAAATCAAAAATCTAAATACATGTTTAGATTCAGCATATCAAAGAACCTCATATATTCAATTTTTGCTAAAATCAAACAAAGTTTAATTTTGGACCCTTTGGACCTTAATGTAGACTATTTTGAAAACTGGACCCAAAATTAAAAATCTAAATACACTGTTAGATTCGGCATAACAAATAAATAAATGTGATCAAAGATTTTACAAATCTAATGCGCCATACTGTGCAATTAAAGATTACTTCTTGAAATTTTTCAATATTTGAAATTTGAAAAAAAAATAATATTTGAAAAATAATTCTTTTTAATTTCTGAAATCTGAAATGAGAAAAAATTGACCCCCCACAATTTCTTTTTATTCCCCCCCCCCCTTTTTCCCCCAAAAAATTCTTTCCCTCAAGATATGGTCATAATCTCAATTCAAATTTCCAATGGAGTTGGCAACCATAATTACCCATTTAAATTTACCATAGTGCTAACTTAATCTATTTTATAATAGAATTAAAAATATAGTGTCAAATCTTTCATATGGATTTTTTTGTAAAAAAAAAATGATGCAACATTTGCAGATATTTTTACTGGTCTTCCTTTATAAATATGCATTTCTTTAAACATAATTTAAAAGCAGTGTAAGGGAAGTAACCAAAACGTTGTATTTGGATTACCTCCCTATCACTGTTTTAAATTATCTTTATTGTTATTAACCATTACTTTATACATAATTTAAAAGCAGTGTAAGGGAGATAATTTCAATGATGTATTTGATTTATCTCCCTTACACTGCTTTAAATTATGTTTTGTACTAAAGTATTTGTGCATTAACCAGGACAACCTTGTTTTTCCCCCCTTTTTTGCCCCTAATTCCTAAAAGGTTTGAGCCATAACCCCCCAAAGCAAATCCTAACCATCCCTTTGTGGTATGGAAACTTGTAGTATAATTTCAGAGAGATCCATACACCGTTCCACAGTTATTGTCTGGAAACTAGAAAATGCTTATTTTTGGCCCCTTTTTGGCCCCTAATTCCTTAACTGTTGGTACCATAACCCCAAAATCAATCCCAACCTTCCTTTTGTGGTATTTAACCTTATGGTAAAATTTCAAAAAGATCCATTCACTTAAACTAAAGTTAGAGTGCGAAAACCAATGTGTCTTCGGACGCCAACGTCATACCAATATACGACCACAAAATTTTTTTGCGGTCGTATAAAAATTGAATCATAATTTCCTGTCAACATGCACATCTACATAGTATGTCCTTATTATCTGAAAAGGTTTCATGAAATTCTGTTGTGTGGTTTGAGAGGAGTTGCGATGACAAAAGGTTGCAGTAGTATATTGGGCAAATAAGTTCAAAGGGGCGTCACTCCTGGAAAAAAAATTGAATCGTAATTTCCTGTCGATATGCACATCTACTTAGTATGTCCTTATTATCTGAAAAGGTTTCATGAAATTCTGTTGTGTGGTATGAGAGGAGTTGCAATGACAAAAGGTTGCAGTAGTATATTGGGCAAATAAGTTCAAAGGGGCGTAACTCCTGGAAAAAAAATTGAATCGTAATTTCCTGTTGATATGCACATCTACGTAGTATGTCCTTATTATCTACACAGTTTTCTGAAATTCTGTTGTGTGGTTTGAGAGGAGTTGCGATGACAAAAGGTTGCAGTAGTATATTGGGCAAATAAGTTCAAAGGGGCATATCTCCTGGAAAAAAATTGAATCGTAATTTCCTGTCGATATGCACATCTACATAGTATGCCCTTATTATCTGAAAAGGTTTCATGAAATTCTGTTGTGTGGTTTGAGAGGAGTTGAGATGACAAAAGGTTGCAGTAGTATATTGGGCAAATAAGTTCAAAGGGGCGTAATCCTGGAAAAAAAATTGAATCGTAATTTCCTGTCGATATGCACATCTACGTAGTATGTCCTTATTATCTGAAAAGGTTTCCTGAAATTCTGTTGTGTGGTATGAGAGGAGTTGCGATGACAAAAGGTTGCAGTAGTATATTGGGCAAATAAGTTCAAAGGGGCGTAACTCCTGGAAAAAAAATTGAATCGTAATTTCCTGTTGATATGCACATCTACGTAGTATGTCCTTATTATCTACACAGTTTTCTGAAATTCTGTTGTGTGGTTTGAGAGGAGTTGCGATGACAAAAGGTTGCAGTAGTATATTGGGCAAATAAGTTCAAAGGGGCGTATCTCCTGGAAAAAAATTGAATCGTAATTTCCTGTCGATATGCACATCTACATAGTATGTCCTTATTATCTGAAAAGGTTTCATGAAATTATGTAGTGTGGTTTGAGAGGAATTGGGATGATAAACTGTTGCAATAGTACATTAAAGTAAATAAGTTCAAAGAGGCGTAACTCCTAGAAAAAGAATTGAATCGTAATTTCCTGTTGATATGCACAACTACATAGTATGTCCTTATTATCTGAAAAGGTTTCATGAAATTCTGTAGTGTGGTTTGAGAGGAGTTGCGATGACAAACTGTTGCAGTAGTACATTAAAGTAAATAAGTTCAAAGGGGCATAACTCCTAGAAAAAGAATTGAATCGTAATTTCCTGTCGATATGCACAACTACATAGTATTTCCTTATTATCTAAAAAGGTTTCGTGAAATTCTGTTGTGTGGTTTGAGAGGAGTTGCGATGACAAAAGGTTGCAGTAGTATATTGGGCAAATAAGTCCAAAGGGGCGTAACTCCTGGAAAAAAAATTGAATCGTAATTTCCTGTCGATATGCACATCTACGTAGTATGTCCTTATTATCTGAAAAGGTTTCATGAAATTCTGTAGTGTGGTTTGAGAGGAGTTGAGATGACAAACTTGCAGTAGTACATTAAAGTAAATAAGCTCAAAGGGGCGTAACTCCTAGAAAAAGAATTGAATCGTAATTTCCTGTCGATATGCACAACAACATAGTATGTCCTTATTATCTAAAAAGGTTTCGTGAAATTCTGTTGTGTGGTTTGAGAGGAGTTGCGATGACAAGAAACGGGACTGACGGACGGACGAACGGACAGACAGACGGACGGACGGACAGGTAAAAAACATTATACCCTCCGCAACTCGTTGCGTGGGGTATAATTAATTAAACTTTCTTACAAAAAGGCGAGACATATCAATAACAGAGATATGTCTCGCCATTTCATACGACCGCAAAAAAATTTTTGCGATCGTATATTGGTATGACGTTGGCATTGTCGTCGTCGTCCGGCGTCGTCGTCGTCTGAAGACACACTGGTTTTCGCACTCTAACTTTAGTTTGAGTGGATGGATCTCTATGAAATTTTAACATAAGGTTCAATACCACAAAAGGAAGGTTGGGATTGATTTTGGGGGTTATGGTACCAACAGTTAAGGAAATAGGGGCCAAAAATAAGCATTTTTGTAACTTCCAGACATAACTTGTGTGTTAGTGTATGGATCTCTCTGACATTGTACCACAAGGTTCCATATCACAAAGGGAATGCTGGGATTGATTTTGGGGGTAATTGCCTCAAAATTTTCGGAATTAGGGGCCATAAAAGGGGCAAAAAACAAGCATTTTTATATGGACAAATACTTTAGTACAAAACATAATTTAAAGCAGTGTAAGGGAGATAAATCAAATACATCATTTAAATTACCTCCCTTACACTGCTTTTAAACTATGTATAAAGTAATGGTTAATGAACAATTAAGACAATTTAAAACAGTGTAAGGGAGGTAATCCACATACAACACTTTGATTACTTCCCTTACATTGCTTTTAAATTATGTTTAAAGAAATGCATATTTTTAAAGGAAGACCAGTAAAAATATCTGCAAATGTTGCATCTTTTTTTTTTTTACAAAAAAATCCATATGAAAGATTTGACACCATATTTTAAATTCTATTATAAAATAAATTAAGTTAGCACTATGGTAAATTTAAATGGGTAATTATGGTTGCAAATTCCATTGGAAATTTGAATTGAGATTATGACCATATCTTGAGGGAAAGAATTTTTTTGGGGAAAAAGGGGGGGGGGGGGGTCAAAAGAAATTGTGGGAGGTCAATTTTTTCTCATTTCAGATTTCAGAAATTAAAAAGAATTATTCTTCAAATATTATTTTTTTTTCAAATTTCAAGAAGTAATCTTTAATTGCACAGTATGGCACATTAGATTTGTAAAATCTTTGACCACATTTATTTATTTGTTATGCCAAATCTGACCGTGTATTTAGATTTTTAATTTTGGGTCCAGTTTTCAAATTGGTCTACATTTAGGTCAAAAGGGTCCAAAATTAAACTTAGTTTGATTTTAACAAAAATTGAATATATGGGGTTCTTTGATATGCTGAATCTAAACATGTATTTAGATTTTTGATTTCGGGCCCAGTTTTCAAGTTGGTCCAAATTGGGGTCCAAAATTAAACTTTGTTTGATTTCAACAAAAATTGAATATATGGGGTTCTTTGATATGTTGAATCTAACCATGTATTTAGATTTTTTATTTGTGGGCCCCGCTATCATATTGGTTCATATTGAGGTCAAAAGGGTCCAAAATTAAACGTTGTTTTATTACATCAAAAATTGAATTATTGGGATTCTTTGATATGCCAAATCTAACCATGTATTTAGATTTTTAATTTTGGGTCCAGTTTTCAAATTGGTCTAGATTAAGGTCCAAAGGGTCCAAAATTAAACTTAGTTTGATTTTAACAAAAATTGAATATATGGGGTTCTTTGATATGCTGAATCTAAACATGTATTTAGATTTTTGATTTTGGGCCCAGTTTTCAAGTTGGTCCAAATTGGGGTCCAAAATTAAACTTTGTTTGATTTCAACAAAAATTAAATGTATGGGGTTCTTTGATATGCTGAATCTTACCATGTATTTAGATTTTTTATTTGTGGGCCCCACTATCAAATTGGTTCATATTGAGGTCAAAAGGATCAAAATTAAACTTTGTTTTATTTCATCAAAAATTGAATTATTGGGGTTCTTTGATATGCCAAATCTAACCGTGTATTTAGATTTTTAATTGTGGGTCCCGTTTTTTAAATTGGTCTACATTAAGGTCCAAAGGGTCCAAAATTAAACTTAGTTTGATTTTAACAAAAATTGAACTTGGGGTTCTTTGATATGCTGAATCTAAACATGTGTTTAGATTTTTGATTATGGGTCCAGTTTTCAAGTTGGTCCAAGTTGGGTTCTAAAATCAAACTTTGTTTGATTTCAACAAAAATTGAATTCTTGGGGTTCTTTGATATGCTGAATCTAAACATGTGTTTAGATATTTGATTATGGGTCCAGTTTTCAAGTTGGTCCAAGTTTGGGTCAAAAGTTAAACTTTGTTTGATTTCAACAAAAATTGAATATATGGGGTTCTTTGATATGCTGAATCTAACCATGTATTTTGATTTTTGGGCCCCGTTATCAAATTGGTCCACATTGAGGTCCAAAGGGTCCAAAATTAAACTTAGTTTGATTTTAACAAAAATTGAATATATGGGGTTCTTTGATATGCTGAATCTAAACATGTATTTAGATTTTTTATTTGTGGGCCCGGCTTTCAAATTGGTTTATATTGAGGTCAAAAGGGTCCAAAATTAAACTTTGTTTTATTTCATCAAAAATTGAATTATTAAGGGTTCTTTGATATGCCAAATCTAACCATGTATTTAGATTTTTAATTTTGGGTCCATTTTTCAAATTGGTCTACATTAAGGTCCAAAATTAAACTTAGTTTGATTTTAACAAAAATTGAATATATGGGGCTCTTTGATAGGCTAAATCTAAACATGTATTTAGATTTTTGATTTTGGGCCCAGTTTTCAAGTTGGTCCAAATTGGGGTCCAAAATTAAACTTTAGTAATTTCAACAAAAATTGAATATATGGGGTTCTTTGATATGCTGAATCTTACCATGTATTTAGATTTTTTATTTGTGGGCCCCGCTATCAAATTGGTTCATATTGAGGTCAAAAGGGTCCAAAATTAAACTTTGTTTTATTTCATCAAAAATTGAATTATTGGGGATCTTTGATATGCCAAATCTGACCGTGTATTTAAATTTTTAATTTTGGGTCCCGTTTTTTAAATTGGTCTACATTAAGGTCCAAAGGGTCCAAAATTAAACTTAGTTTGATTTTAACAAAAATTGAATTCTTGGGGTTCTTTGATATGCTGAATCTAAACATGTGTTTAGATTTTTGATTATGGGTCCAGTTTTCAAGTTGGTCCAAATTGGGGTCCAAAATTAAACTTTGTTTGATTTCAACAAAAATTGAATATATGGGGTTCTTTGATATGCTGAATCTAACCATGTATTTTGATTTTTGGGCCCCGTTATCAAATTGGTCCACATTGAGGTCAAAAGGGTCAAAATTAAACTTTGTTTGATTTCATCAAAAATTGAATACTTTGGATTCTTTGATATGCTGAATCTAACCATGTATTTAGATTTTGGATATTGGACCATAATAGGTAAATTAAAAAATTTTAAGTTCTTAGACCACATTCATTCTGTGTCAGAAACCTATGCTGTGTCAAATATTTAATCACAATCTAAATTCAGAGCTGTATCAAGCTTGAATGTTGTGTCCATACTTGCCCCAACTGTTCAGGGTTCGACCTCTGCGGTCGTAACAAGCTGCGCCCCGCGAAGCATTTTATTGTAATTTTGATAATGCAAATGTTGAAATTAAAATAGCAATACTTTAACATGTAAGTTATGCAAATATTCAAATTCAATGAACTATGACTGAAGGTACATGGCTAAACAATCTCCATGGAATGAGATGTGCCAATGCTAATACAACTGTATACGTGTGTACCACTAGTGGTTCACCATAAACTAGACCTAATCACAAACTAATACATGTAATACATAGTTGATGCAGCCGCCGCTGGAAACAGCATACCTATGTCCCCCTTTTTGATTACGTCAAGGCGAGACAAAAATATATTATTATTAAACATCAGCTTGCAGCATACTAAGTAAATGTAATCAGCTTATCTTTATAAAGCCCTTATATGGTTGAACACTGTTTTTCTCATTTCCCTGGCAGGGAATTGAACCCTGGTCCCTTGCCAATAAAGGCAAGTGTACTATCCACTGTACTACCAGAGATTTCACTAGGAATTTACAGTGTATAAAAAAAATGGAAATTAGGTATGATTGCCAATGAAACAACTACAATGTATCCACCCAAGTTCAAATGAAATAGATGTAAGCAATAGGCAGCCATACGGCCTTCAACAATGAGAAAAACCCATACCGTGTAATCAGCTATAAAAGGCCCCAACATGAAAATTATGAAACAATTCAATTGAGAAAACTAACGGCATAATTTATAACAAAACAATTTATGAAAAACATGAATGACAGACATGAACCAATGACAACCAATGAACTACAGGCTCCTCACTTGGGACAGGTTTTACATTAACCAAACAGCTTAGAAATTTTGGATATGAACAAATTTCTTACATAAAATAAACTTGGAACAATTCAACCATGAATGAACTGACCATGTACTTGTCTGATGGTTCAGTACATATTGGGTAGCCAGTTGGAATTACACAAACATGAAAAATGTATTCAAATCAAAGCATCTTCGGTGCTGTGATCCAGCCAATATTGCAGCTAGTCTGACATTTATTTTAATCTTATTTTCAATATTTTTTTACTCTTTTTTTTATTTTCATAGTCTAACAATAAAACTTTTATTCTACTGCCCAAATAAGGAGATTTTTTTACATCTTTTTTTTATTGCTTTACGCTACATGAGCACACATCTTTTTTATAAACTTTTTTGCATTTAAAAATTTTGACAATAATGCAAAGGGTTATATCTTCAGTGATTAAGTAACTATTTTTTTTTTATATAAATTGTTGTCTGCTCTATGGTCGGTTTGTTTTCTCTTTGACACATTCCCCATTTCCATTCTCAATTTTAGTGTTTATTCTTCATTGAGAAAAAAAAAAGTTTCCAATTTTCAAATTTTACAGGAGCAGCTGTGATGTCCAGTAATGGTGGAAATATAGACAAGTTTCCAATTTGTGTTTTATGAATTAACTGCCCCAGTTGACAGTGGGTCATTTGGAGAAAAAATATTTGACATATGGGGTCATTCTTTTCTCTACCCAACACCCAAAAAAGAGCACCAACCTATAATAAAATGCTCCGCTTGGGCGCAGCTTGATACGACCGCAGAGGTCGAACCCTGAACAGTTGGGGCAAGTATGGACACAACATTCAAGCTTGATACAGCACTGAATTTGGATTGTAATTAAATAGTTGACACAGCATAGGTTTCTGACACAGAATGAATGTGGTCTAAGAACTTAAAAATCTTTAATTTACCTATTCAAATCATATCATTATTATTTGCTTTTATATATAAATCAGAAATAACCAATTTAAAATGGGAAATTTTAAAGAAAAACTAGAGGCTCTCAAGAGCCTGTGTCGCTCACCTGATTCTACTTTGGTTTTGGAAATCATGTAAAAATAGATTAAAATCATAACAGATACCCTAATAATGAGTGAGGCCAAATTTGGTTAAATATTGGTCCTGTAATTTAATAAAAAATCCTGGTGGCCATCTTGAACAGTAAATCGGCAACAAAGTAGCAACACTTAATCAGCACCTCATAAGAAACATTTATGCCATGTTTTGGTTTCATTCCATTCAGTGCACCTCTAGAAGAAGCATTTGCATGTATTTCAAATAGGGTCTTATGTTAAAGGAAGTCCCCCCATTGGCAGCTATCATGGATGAAGGATCAGCTTCAAAGTAACAAAACTTAGTCAGCACCTCATAAGGAACATTCATGCCATGTTTGGTTTCAATCCATTCAGTATGTGGTTCTCTAAAAGAAGACATTTGTATGTATTGTCCATAGGGTCCTTGTAAACATTGTCCCCATCTGGCAGCCATCATGGATGAAGGATCAGCTTCAAAGTAACAACACTTGGTCAGCACCTCAAAAGGAACATGCATGCCATGTTTGGTTTCATTCCATTCAATGGTTCTTTAAAAGAAAACATTTGTACGTATTTCTCATAGGGTCCTATGTTAAACTAAGTCCTCCGCTGGCGGCCATCTTAGATTATGGATCGGCTTCATAGTAACAACACTTGGTCAGCACCTCATAAGGAATATTCATGCCATGTTTGGTTTCATTGCATTCAGTGGTTCTCTAAAAGAAGACATTTGTATGTATTTCCAATAGGGTCCTATGTTAAACTAAGTCCCCCGCTGGCTGCCATCTTGGATGATGGATCAGCTTCAAAGTAACAACACTTGGTCAGCACCTCATAAGGAACATTTTTGCCATGTTTGGTTTCATTCCTTTCAGTGGTTCTCTAAAAGAAGACATTTGTATGTATTTCCCATAGGGTCCCATGTTAAACTAAGTCCCCCACTGGCGGCCATCTTGGATTATGGATTGGCTTCAAAGTATCAACACTCGGTCAGCACCTCATAAGGATCATTCATGCCATGTTTGGTTTCATTCCATTCAGTGGTTCTCTAAAAGAAGACATTTGTATGTATTTCTAATAGGGTCCCATGTTAAACTAAGTCCCCTGCAGGCGGCCATCTTGGATTATGGATCGGCTTCAAAGTAACAACACTCTGTCAGCACCTGATAAGAAACATTCATGCCATGTTTGGTTTTATTCCATTCAGTGGTTCTCTAAAAGAAGACATTTGTATGTATTTCCCATAGGGGCCAATGCTAAACTAAGTCCCCTGCTGGCGGCCATCTTTGATTATGGATCAGCTTCATAGTAACAACACTTGGTCAGCACCTCATAAGGAACATTCATGCCATGTTTGGTTTCATTCCATTCAGTGGTTCTCTAAAAGAAGACCTTTGTATGTATTTCCCATAGGGTCCCATGTTAAACTAAGTCCCCTGCTGGCGGCCATCTTGGATTATGGATCGGCTTCAAAGTAACAACACTCGGTCAGCACCTCAAAAGGAACATGCATGCCATGTTTGCTTTCATTCCATTCAATGGTTCTTTAAAAGAAAACATTTGTACGTATTTCTCATAGGGTCCTATGTTAAACTAAGTCCTCCGCTGGCGGCCATCTTAGATTATGGATCGGCTTCATAGTAACAACACTTGGTCAGCACCTCATAAGGAACATTCATGCCATGTTTGGTTTCATTGCATTCAGTGGTTCTCTAAAAGAAGACATTTGTATGTATTTCCCATAGGGTCCTATGTTTAACTAAGTCCCCCGCTGGCTGCCATCTTGGATGATGGATCAGCTTCAAAGTAACAACACTTGGTCAGCACCTCATAAGGAACATTTTTGCCATGTTTGGTTTCATTCCTTTCAGTGGTTCTCTAAAAGAAGACGTTTGTATGTATTTCCCATAGGGTCCCATGTTAAACTAAGTCCCCTGCTGGCGGCCATCTTGGATTATGGATCGGCTTCAAAGTAACAACACTCGGTCAGCACCTCATAAGGATCATTCATGCCATGTTTGGTTTCATTCCATTCAGTGGTTCTCTAAAAGAAGACGTTTGTATGTATTTCCCATAGGGTCCCATGTTAAACTAAGTCCCCCGCTGGCAGCCATCTTGGATTATGGATCGCCTTCAAAGTAACAACACTCGGTCAGCACCTCATAAGGAACATTCATGCCATGTTTGGTTTCATTGCATTCAGTGGTTCTCTAAAAGAAGACATTTGTATGTATTTCCCATAGGGTCCTATGTTTAACTAAGTCCCCCGCTGGCTGCCATCTTGGATGATGGATCAGCTTCAAAGTAACAACACTTGGTCAGCACCTCATAAGGAACATTTTTGCCATGTTTGGTTTCATTCCTTTCAGTGGTTCTCTAAAAGAAGACGTTTGTATGTATTTCCCATAGGGTCCCATGTTAAACTAAGTCCCCCGCTGGCGGCCATCTTGGATTATGGATCGGCTTCAAAGTAACAACACTCGGTCAGCACCTCATAAGGATCATTCATGCCATGTTTGGTTTCATTCCATTCAGTGGTTCTCTAAAAGAAGACATTTGTATGTATTTCTAATAGGGTCCCATGTTAAACTAAGTCCCCTGCAGGCGGCCATCTTGGATTATGGATCGGCTTCAAAGTAACAACACTCTGTCAGAACCTGATAAGAAACATTCATGCCATGTTTGGTTTCATTCCATTCAGTGGTTCTCTAAAAGAAGACATTTGTATGTATTTCCCATAGGGTCCAATGCTAAACTAAGTCCCCTGCTGGCGGCCATCTTGGATTATGGATCAGCTTCATAGTAACAACACTTGGTCAGCCCCTCATAAGGAACATTCATGCCATGTTTGGTTTCATTCCATTCAGTGGTTCTCTAAAAGAAGACATTTGTATGTATTTCCCATAGGGTCCCATGTTAAACTAAGTCCCCTGCTGGCAGCCATCTTGGATTATGGATCAGCTTCAAAGTAACAACACTCGGTCAGCACCTCATAAGGAACATTCATACCGTGTTTGGTTTCATTCCATTCTGTGGTTCTCTAAAAGAAGACATTTGTATGTATTTCCCATAGGGTCCTATGTTAAACTAAGTCCCCCGCTGGCGGCCATCTTGGATTATGGATCGGCTTCAAAGTAACAACACTCGGTCAGCATCTCATAAGAAACATTCATGCCATGTTTGGTTTCATTCCATTCAGTGGTTCTCTAAAAGAAGACATTTGTATGTATTTCCCGTAGGGTCCTATGTTAAACTAAGTCCCCCGCTGGCGGCCATCTTGGATGATGGATCCGCTACAAAGTAACAACACTTGGTCAGCACCTCATAAGGAACTTTCATGCCATGTTTGGTTTCATTCCATTCAGTGGTTCTCTAGAAGAAGTTCAAAATGTAAAAAGTTAACGCAGACGCCGGACAACGGACGCTAAGTGATGAGAAAAGCTCACTTGGCCCTTCCGGCCAGGTGAGCTAAAAAGGAAGAAAAAATCCCCCCCTCCAAATTTTTTGAACCCCCTAATGATTCATCACCCCCAAACTCAATCCCAGCCTTCCCTTTGTGGTATGGTACCTTGGAGTACAATTTCAGAGAGATCCATACACTTGAGCACAAGTTATTGTCTGGAAACTAGAAAAATGCTTGTTTTTTGGCCCCTTTTTGGCCCCAAATTCCTAAACATTTAGGGCAATTACCCCCAAACTCAAACTCAGCTTTCCCTTTGTGATATGGAACCTTGCAGTACAATTTCATAAAGATCCATACACTTACACACAAGTTATTGTCCTGAAACTAGAAAAATGCTTGTTTTTTTGCCCTTTTATGGCCCCTAATTCCTAAAATTTTAATGGGAATTACCCCAAAAATCAATCCCAGCCTTCCCTTTGTGGTATGGTACCTTGCAGTACAATTTCAGAGAGATCCATACACTTGAACACAAGTTATTGTCTGGAAACTAGAAAAATGCTTTTTTTTGGCCCCTTATTCCTAAACGTTTAGGGCAATTACCCCCAAACTCAATTCCAGCTTTCCCTTTGTGATATGGAACCTTGTAGTACAATTTCATAAAAATCCATACACTTGAACATAAGTTATTGTCATGAAACTAGAAAAATGCTTGTTTTTTGCCCCCAATTCCTAAAATTTGGAGGCAATTACCCCCAAAATCAATCCCAGCATTCCCTTTTGTGATATGGAACCTTGTGGTACAATGTCAGAGAGATCCATACACTTACACACAAGTTATTGTCTGGAAACTAGAAAAATGCTTGTTTTTTGCCCCTTTTTGGCCCCTAATTCCTAAAATTTGGAGGCAATTACCCCCAAAATCAATCCCAGCATTCCCTTAGTGATATGGAACCTTGTGGTACAATGTCAGAGAGATCCATACACTAACACACAAGTTATGTCTGGAAGTTACAAAAATGCTTATTTATCTAATTCCTTAACTGTTGGTACCATAACCCCCAAAATCAATCCCCACCTTCCTTTTGTGGTTTTGAACCTTATGGTAAAATTTCATAGAGATCCATTCACTTAAACTAAAGTTAGAGTGCCAAAACTAATGTGTATTTGGACGACGACGACGACGCCAACGTCATACGACCTTTTTTTTTTTTTGCAGTCATATAAAAAATAGTAATATTGCACAATAAATCGAATCAATTTATGTAAAATTTTATCTTTTTATTATTTTTTATATGCACAAGAGACTCAAAATAAACAAAAACATTTACAGTAGATTCAGCAAAAATTGCTTGTGGATTTGCATGGTAAACATTTCATTGTATATAATATATCTTGTTGTCTTTACTCAACAATTATTAGAAATAAATTGTTAAAAATAGTTCATACAATTTATTTAATGAGACATTATGTTGTTCTTAAATAACTTTGTTAAGACTAAAGTTTTATTTTAATATTGCAAAATTATTGAAAGAACCTTAGTGAGCGCGCTCACATACCCCACGACCCCACATTGTCATTGGAGAAATAAAATAAGTGTAAGAAAAAAAAATTGTATCAGAAAAAATAAAATGCTCCGCTGGGGCGCAGCTTGATACAACCGCAGATGTCGAACCCTGAACAGTTGGGGCAAGTATGGACACAACATTCAAGCTTGATACAGCACTGAATTTGGATTGTAATTAAATATTTGACACAGCATAGGTTTCTGACACAGAATGAAAGTGGTCTAAGAACTTAAAAATTTGTAATTTACCTATTCAAACCATATCCATACATGTGATGGACTGTGAAACTCAGATCAGGAGATTGGGAAATTTTGGTCAGGAGATTAGGACTCAGATCAGGAGGTTTTTAATCGACATAAATTTTGACGTAAATGTAACCGTGTGCTGTAAAAATTGTCTTTTAAAGTGTGTATTCTTCAACTTTCCATCCGAATGTATTATGTTTATAGTACTCTTGTACTTATAAAGTTTCTCTGTCTTTTTTAAATTTTTTAATTCATATCTTTTTTATCATTATTCTATAGAACAATCACTGCATTCAGAACATTTGTTTAACTACCGGCAATTGCAAATAGTTTATATATGCATATTAAGAAACATATATACAAGGTCTAGAATCAAGGGTCATAGTTATTATATAAATTTCAATTTAAGTCTTGAAAGGAAGTATAGAACCCTCAAATAATTTTCAAATTATTATTTTTTTATTTGTCCTAAGACGTTTAAAATAATTTAGTTACCATCCTTTTATGATTATTTGTTCAATTGATATTTTATTTATATTCTTTTAAAAATTTACATTATTTAAAGGAAAGAAACTTAAAACAGGATAAATCAAGGGAAGTAACCCAATAAATACACAAAGTTTTTATTACACACGGCAGTTAGCCTGAGGTAAAAATTGTTGATTACCAGTAAGTTTGACACCCAAGCTGACAAGTGAAGCCATATAATTATGCATGCTAATTGATTTACATGTAAAATATAACTTCAGTAATAGTTATACACCGAGGGATAGGTGTGTCTGGATAAGAAACCCCGTCGGCCGGAGGCCAGAGGGGTTTCTTATCCAGACACGCCGTATCCCGAGGTGTATAACTAACTTACACCCATTATAAACCCTATATTTGTTAACATTGATTATTAAACGAAAAAAAAGAAAACGATAGCATATTTATTGACAATATCAAACCATGATTTATGAAAATATTTTTTTATTACATGAAACCCCGCTAGTAACCTTTCTTTGGTTATCTTCGTTTACGAATACGAATACGAATACGAAAGTTTTATTTTGATTCGGTTCACATATAACAATACAAACATAAGCTCTTAAGAGCTTTTTACCGAATATAAGGTAACACAAACACAACATTAAAACACACAAACATGCAGACAGGATATATAACAGCACAGCAAGGATTTCACTATACAAATCCTTGAGCACAGTCATATCGAAATACATGCAAAGCACTTTTAAAATACATATCTAAAGCCAAAGCTGAAGCACAACTAAAAATTAAGCACAACTAAAATTAAGCACAAATAAAATATAGCACACATGCAAAAATTTAAGGCATAATAACATGTTAGAGCAACTTCTAAAATATGATAAAGCTTATCTACAAGCAGAACAACAACATTTTGAACCATTCCAAGACTGTATAAGGCTCTTAAATTGAGAAAAACTGTTTTCAGTCCTGAAATGGTCAGGTAGGCTGTTCCACAGAGTAGCAGCTGCAAATTTAAAACTTTTCTTACCAAACTGTGTAGTTTTTACATGTGGTATATCCAGTATATTACTATATCTGAAAGAATATTTACAATCTTTTATATTTAATAAATCATGTAAACAGACAGGTGCTAATTTATTGACTATATTAAAAGTTTCAATTGCCATAGATCTTTGTCTTTTAATATGCAGTGAAGGCATCTTAGCCTTTTCAAACAACTGTTGATATGAGCTTGAATGGTCTTCGTACACAAACCTTAGTGCTCTTTCTTGCACTTTTTCTAATTTTTTTGAATTTTTCTCGGTACAAAAATGCCATGCCAAAGGGCAGAAATTGAAGTTTGACAAAATAAATGTATGGAAAATAGTAAGCTTACTTAGCTTGTTCAGATAAGCTCCCAAACGTTTCAAAATATTTAGTTGCTGAGATGCCTTCCTGCATATTTTACCAATATGAATATCAAAATTTAGCTGATAATCTATGTCAATGCCAAGTAATTTGACAGTTGACTCACACGAAAGATCAGCACTTTGGATACGTATAGATGGATTTTTGTTATATGTCTTTTTCCCAACTGCTAGGACCTGAAATTTGTCGGGGTTTGCCTGCATTTTATTTATTTTGAACCACTCAATAAGTTTGAGTGATTCAGATTCCAAAGTAGAAATCAAAACATCATAATCAGGACTACAGTAAGATAAAGTATTGTCATCTGCATAATTATACAAAGTTCCATTTTTTATAAATAAGAATATATCATTGATAAAAACATTGAATAGTAGGGGGCCCAGGATAGAACCCTGGGGAACCCCCTTATGAATGTCAGCCCAACTGCTAAGAATACTATTTATTTTAATTTGTTGTTTCCTGTTTGTCAAATAAGATTTAAGTAGTGAAATAGAATGAACAGAGACACCATATGCTGATAATTTATCAAGCAGAATTTCATGTGGTAGGCAATCAAAAGCCTTTGATAGGTCCATTAAAACAGCAGCTATATACTGGTTTTTATCTAATGCTGCACGCCAATCTTCTAGCAGTCGTAACAGTGTGGTCTGACACCCATGGCCACGTCTAAAAGCACACAGATAGGGATGAAAAATAATTTCAAAAAAATCACCAAGTTGAATTTCAAAAACCTTTTCATAAATTTTAGAAAAAATTGGTAGAACGCTGACAGGCCTATAATTGGCTTTGTCAAGTTGGTTGTTTTTCTTGTGCAGTGGTGTTACTTGAGCCTGCTTGAGTCTATCAGGAAAAACTCCAGTTTCTACAGATAGATTTATAAGTGTTGTTAACTGTGGCACAATTATCGGTTTACAATGTTTCACTACTTTTGCTGGTATGCCATCTACTCCAGTAGCTTTTTTAATGTTAATTTTATTAATAATTTTTGCTACTTTTTCTGTTGTTGTTTTCTGAAAATCAAATTTTGTGTTAGTGCAGTTTTGATCTTTTATTTGCAAGATACTGGCATGAGTTGGTGGGTCGTATAGCACGTCACTACCAATCTTGTCTGCAACTGTCGAAAAAAATGTGTTAAAGTGTTCTGAAACATCTTTGGTGTTGTTTATGATTTTGTTGTTTTCACATAAAACAATTTTTTGTTCCCCTGAGTGACATTTTTTTGAGAAAAACGGCTTTATAGTTGTCCAAAAGTTACTGTTTTTTGCCCCACCTGAACAACGTTCTAAAAAATAATTTTTCATGGATACTTTTTTAAGTTTTGTAACAAGGTTTCGCTGTTTTCTATATTTTTCCAATGTTTTTGAATCTTTATGCTTTGTAAATTGTGTGTACAGCATGTGTTTGCGATATACAGCTTTTCTAAGTTCACTATTCATGCACGGTAATGGTTGTTTTCTTGGTTGTCTTGTTTTGATCGGTGCATGTTTGTTTAGAATATTTGTGAATGTATCTTCAAATTCATTATATGCCTGGTTTAACTGTTCAGAATTTGTGACATTTTCTGTAAGTGGCATTTTTATTTGGTTTAGATCTGTGTTAAATTTATCTATATCAAAATTTCTATAACTTCTGTATGATATTTTTTGCTGTTTTGGGGCATGAACTTTGCCCTTGATTGTAACTGATATAAGATTATGACAATCACTAATACCTGTAGATAAATTGTGGGTGTTAAAACACATATTTTCCTTGTTTGTGAGTATAACATCAACAAGTGAGGGTTTAGACCCTTTCATAAAACAAGTTGGTTTTGATATTAATTGTGACAAGTTGAAGATATCACATATGTCATTCATAGATTGACATTTTTTACTATTTAACATGTCAAAGTTTAGGTCACCAAGTAATAAAATATTATCATAGTTAATTATACATTTGTCTATATTTTTTGTAAAGTTATCTGAAAAGTTGTTGTCAGGTACTGATGGGGGTTTATAAATACCCATCATCAGCCATTTGGTGTTATTTAAGTGAACCTCTAAACTAATGTTCTCTAAACTATCAGATTCTTTGTCAGCTCTACGACTAGATGGAAAGTCAGAATTGATCAGTAACATGATGCCACCACCTTGTTTGTTTCTATCACGTCGATGAAGTTTATAGCCATCTACTTTGAACAAGTTATCATTAAACGATTGGTCAATTTTCGTTTCTGCAACTATAAGGAGATCTACGATTTTATCATATAATAGTTCTTTAATCTCATCGAACTTATACCTTATGCTGTTTATATTCATATATGCTACCACGAAGTTACTTGGGTGTTTTTTCCTGGACTCAATTAGACTCTGAAAGACCGACTCTGCATGTTGATTGTTTACATCGGAACTTGTATTATTCAATGAAGGGAGATAATCGTTTGTGGGTGCGTTTGACTTTATATTTACATCATCAAAATATGAATCATTAAAATTCGGTAAAATACAGTTTTTACAGAACCAACTGTCTGTCGATTCTGATAGTCTGTAGT